CCCCAAAACCCCAAAACCCCAAAACCCCACGAACCTTAAATGAATGAGAATGCGTTTAATTAATTAAAAAATCAGAAATTAAAATCAATAGCTCCATACCTTTTTTAATTTTTTATTACAAATCTAGCAGAAATCTCTATTTGTGCTCTATTCAGGGCAGTATAAGCTCAGACAATAGCTGCAAGAATAACCCAGGTTGATATTTTTATTGCAGCAAATGCATGTGCTATTCATGCTCTGATAATCAACCATTTCAATCAAGGGTATTTTAAGTTTGTCTCTGGTAGCCCTGTTGCTTGAAAATACCTCAAGCAGAGTTGGAAATAAATCACTTTCAATCCTATGAGTTTTTAAATTGATTGCTGCTCCAGATGTCAAATTAGCTGCTTACTGTAAAAGACTCGCTTCAAGCTAAATTTGCTATCTTGCTGGTTAATGCTGAGCTTACATAGGATGTTCATGCTGAGAAGTATTCATTTGGGATTATGTCGAGATTTAAGTATTCTATTGATACTGAGAGTGCTACTGCTGATTATGATTTTAAATTTGTTGGCCATTCCCATTGAGATGATTATTGCTAGAATGGTTTTATGATTCCATTGGATCAATTGAAATCGTTAAGCTATCGATTGTTATTTTCAATTTTTAAGCTGCAAATATGGCATTGACTAGTGAGCTATACTATGAAGGATCTTCAGACTGAAATTTAATAACCATTATTCTCGCAGAAAATTATTCCACTTGTTTGATGCTCACCTACTCAATCCATTACTTTGTGAAGCAAATGCTCTTCATCATAGCAGTTGATAGAGAGCATTGCCTTTTAACAGTACCTGCTGGATTATTAAAGTTTTGCATTATTATATTGTTTTCGCCACCAAGCAGTTTTACTAATCTATCTAGTAGCACATGTTTCAAATCTGCAAAAGCAAATTTTTTAATTAGGCGCTCATCTCCAAGTTCATGAATAGGAAAAAGCAGATAGCTGTCATGTGGAAAAGAGATATAAATGCGAAAATTATTTAAACTTGATTGGAGTTAGTAGCAGCCAAGAAACATGCTCACATCTTAGATGAATTTACTGAAATTTAGATGCTTTTCCATGAATTCCATGTTGAAGTCTATGATTAAGTTTAGAAGGTCGTTCATTTTTAATCAGAAGTTATTATTAATATTTTAGATTTCTTAAATTTATTTAATGGATACCCAACTCTACGAATTCTTTTTTGATTGTATATTAATCTCAGTTAGTTTAGGTAGTAATTTGATTTTAATGATTCTTTAGCCTATCCTATTTGGAAGAGTTTTGGTTTACTTGAAATTAAGAAGTATGACAAGGCTTTAATCTAATGGTTATCATACTGGGTTATATATGCTTTACTATGGAAGACTGAAATCTTTATTTTTCAATTTCTCATAAATGAGTAAGTTTTTAATCTTATCTGAGTACTCATTATATTATAGGAACTAGTATTATAAGGTATTTAAGTTGCTATTTGTGTTGTGGCTGATTCATCCTGATTACCTAGTAAGATAAACATTTCAATTAGTTTTAATGTCATTTAGGGCTCCTTATACTTGTATTTTGTAGTGATGGATCGTGGGTTTGAATAATACAAGGATAAATTTCTTGAGACTTCACACGCAATAGTATCTCGAATCAATCTCATCAGTGAGAAATTCTTGACAATCCTAGGTGAGTAATCTTAGAAGAATGAATATGAGCAAGTTAAATCAGCAATAGACTTGAACAAAAAGCTCTTAAGCAGAATCTAGCCCTCGAGCGGAAGCATTTCAAATAATTTTAGTATGGAGTAAAAATAGTAATAGCAGTAATGATTGTCAATATTAGTTGTCGAATAGAATTTTATTCATTGATTTAATAATAAGATGCTCAATTAATGCATATGATGCTCTTGAGGGGTTTTGGGGTTTTGGGGTTTTGGGG